TTAGCAATGATCATAGCGCTCAAATTTCTCATGAACATAGTAAAGTACATGTTTTAAAAAAGAATAGAACTCTACAACAAAGAATTTTTTTGAGAAAATCTCTTTATTACATTAAGACTAAATACATATTCTATCAACTAATAGAGCTATTTTTTAAAAAGATAGGACAGAAAATGACTTCTATACTTTTAAAGTTTGCCCAAAATTTAGGAGGTCTTTAGGCCGAGCCAACTATATATAAAATTTTCTCTAAGCATATCATTTTCTAATATGAAAATGATATCTGAGATATAGCCAATCGGTCTGTAAAAAAATTCGGGCGTTGTCCTTGTGGTTTTTGTATAACTTTCTTTAAAAGTTGGTCGATTGATTATTTTTGCTTTGCTGATCATTAAATTGAACAATAATGTGAGATCAGGGGATGGTAATTGCATAATATTGCATAATCAAGTAAAATTGCCGAATTACCGCATAATTGTTGCATAACGTAAAGTCTGGAGAAAGACAGCACCCGTGACATTGCCTTTTTAGTATATAATTTTACTGCGCAATTTATTATATTAATCGTCACAGTTTCATAAATAATTGTTATTTGTCACGGGCGCTATCTTTCGGATTTTATGGGTAATTGATAAAATCGTCATATTACGTGAACCTTGAAAGCTTCTTTCTGTCTACATAATTATTTCTGAAGACTAAAAATGTGTTAATAAGTATTCCTTATGATGACTTTTTTCAGTTTGAGTTTCTTTTTTGGGTTTAAATTGAAGTCATGGTTGATGGAGGGTATTTTTGTGATCATTTTATGAGTAGGGTTGTTGATTAATAATGACAATGATAAAATTTTCAATTTTTTGATCCATAATTTGTGCACAATTAAAAAAATTTATTATTATGTAATAATAAATTTGAATAATAATTTGCATTTCATTTGAAATATTTTTTAAAATTAACTAACAATTGAAATTATATACTCTTTTTTAATACTTTGCAAAAAAATCTTTTTTTTTTGATAACAATCCTTGGACATGTCCGAGATATTTATTGTTATATCAATTATGAAAAAAATATTGTTTTGTTAATTAGCATTTAATGCAATCACCAAAGCCGCTTATTATTCCATGAGTTATTGTCCACAAATTTTAATTAATATTAACTATCTATATACGGAAAATACATATACTGAAGAAAATCATATTAATATATAATAATAAAGAACATTAAACCGTCCCGAAAGTTTTGAGTGCTTGCTAAATGCTTGCTAAAATCTTTATCTAGCAACAATTAAAAAATAATAATAATAAAATAATAATAAATGTGAAAATGTTGATCATGCTAAAAACCAAACATTAATGAAAATCTGTAAGATGGATTATATCATATTAATATGAAATTTTTTCCATAAATGTATGTCCAGCATTATTGAAATGAGGATCTTTTCAAGAAGGTAAAAGTAAAAGTTTTGATTTTTTTCTAGATAAAATAAAGATTCAATCGAATACTTTTTTTATAATACATTAATTATTTATAAGCCTTTGGCTAACATAAAAATAAATGTTATACTTCATGTTTTCAAGTTTATTTAATTGATGTTTTAATATCCATGAAAAATGAATCATTCTTATAACTAACATAGGAATCTCTTGCAAGTGAATTCTCTGCAACTTTTATATCAAAATTAATATCTTGAATAAGGGAATCTAATTATATTAATAATGTTAATGTTATTAAATGAAATCTTGCATTTTAATAATATTTTTAATATTTAGTATTTAATTTATACAAGCTTACCAACTGAAATATAATCACGTTCTGGTCTAATATAACCTAAAACAATCACTCGTAACTCTTTTCCATAAAATTCCTCTGAAAATTCATGCATTATATGAACCTCCTAATTAATAAATTAATTAATAAAATGATTAAACATCTGTATAGATAAACGCATTATATGTATAATATATTGTCCTCTCATCACTTCTCTCATATGTCATTAATTGATGCCTACCGCACTTCTTTTCTCATTTTTATAATATGGATTCCATCCTAAACTCATCACCATCGAATACACATTGCTATTATCATTACTACTATTACTATTATTGATCTTATCATCATCATCATTACTACCATTGTCATTAAAAATTACTTGTGCCCATCCATAATAAATTCCTGGTTCCATACATTTACAAATTTCTTCAAATGATGTTTCTGGTAAATTTGCTATGTTATTAAATAAATAGTATGTTATATTAAGTAGTTTGATTAGAAGGGAACAGTACTACGAGAATTAATATAAAATCGGCATGTCTATTTACCTGTTGGAATTCCAAGCTCTTTACTACCACGTCCAAATCCTTTGATCACTTCACCTTTCATCTTAACGGGATAAGGTGTCTCTGGAACTTCTTGTCCAACTATTAATGGACGTGTATTATCATCTGACATGATTATTGAAAAAAAACGTTTTTATGACGTAAAAAAATATTAATACATCAATTTGTGCAATTGTGGCTTGTATTTTTTTTATCCCAAAAAAAAATTCTCTTTATTATAGCCACAACAAAAAAAAATTTGCACTTTTTTATTTGAAATAATTATCATGAGTGGTGTTACAAGTAGTATCAACTTGTCTAATAACAATAATATTAGTTTTATTAGCAATAATCTTATAGTATTATTAAATGTAAGTATACTACTAAGAAAAAAAAAAATCATAAAAAATTTTTTTTGTTATGTGTATATATATTTTTTTATAATTTTATTCTTTTTTTTTAAAAAAAATACGATTTCCTTTTAAATTCTTTAAAAAATTTGCTTTATTTAATTCCTTTAGTTTTTTTTTTTGTGTTTTGGAAACCAAAAAAAAAAAAAATATTGTAGAAATTAACGATCTAAATATTAATTCCCTAAAATTTTTCTATTTATTCTTATCATTTATATAATGTTTATATATAATAGAAAATACATAGAATGCAACAAGAAGGCGCTACTGAGCTTAATAATCCCGAGTTTGCTCAATCATTAAATATCTTACGAACATACCAACAACAACAGAAGAATCAACCGCAACAACAAATGAATCTGCAACAACAGTTGCAACATCAGAAAACAATTCAAGTGCAACAACAAGCATGTGAAGTGCATGCACTTCAACAACAACAACAACAACAACAATCAGCACCAATACAATCACAACTTAATGGTATAAATAATATTAATAACATTAATAACAATAATATAATTAATAATAACATTAATGATAATGTTAATAAAGTTAATAATAACATTAATGATAATACTGTTAATAATAAACTTACTAATGCAACAACAACCACAATAACTAATTCAATAATTAATAATGGTACTTATAAGAACAATAACATTAATAATAACAATGATAATAACACCGATAACGGCATTGATAATGATTCTTCTTCGTTACAATTATCACAAGAACAACTAATAAAATTAAAATATCAGATGTTTGCATATCAATTAGTAATGCGGAACTTACCAATACCTTCATTGTTGATTGAAGTATTATTTAATCCAGAGAAATTAAAAGAACTAGTGTCAAAAGATCCAACCGATTCTTTAATTGAAAAAATTGTACAGGAATCACTTGATTATCATACTCGTCAATCCACTTCAGCTTCTGCATCTACTGCAGCCGTTGCATCATCATCATCATCATCATTATCATCATCATCATCAGCTACTGTTCCATATGCATCTACATATTCTAATTCTGTTGTCAATCATCATCCTCTTACAACTACAACGGCGACTACTTATGCATTTCAATCATCATCAACATCATCGACAACTTCATCATCAGCATATTCCTCTTACAACAACAATAGCAGTAATCTTCACTACAATACTAGTAATAGTAATAATCATCAATATCAACATTCTAATCAACCGCACTATTATAATAATCCATATCAACAACAACAACAACAACAACAACAACAACCATATATAAAACCTCCTCCTGTAAACCTCTACTCACAAGCATCAAGACAACAAAGATTATTGATCCCTGGTGTTCCACCAATGGGAATTGATCCAATTATCATCGCTAAGGAACGTGAAACATTCATACAGACAAAAATTAATCATAGAATAAATGAATTAGAACAATTTTTAGAAAATAAAAAAGATGACAATGATAATAGCAATAATATTGATAATGGCAATGATTATGATGACGGCATTAGTAACAACTATGGTAATGGCTATGATTACATTGATCATAATATGGAATTAGATAATTGGGAATCATTAAATGAATATAAAAAAGCAGAGATTGAACTTCGACAATTAAAATTACGAAATTTTCAGAAAAAAGTAAATATTTTTTATATAATAATAATAATAATATACGTAATGTTTTAGCTTATATTATCTATTTTTTTTTTTAATATTTAGGTTCGTCAAGACGTTCTCAAATATAAAAATCAAGTTACTTTACTAGCATCATCAACAAATCGTTCCATTTACAAGAAATTAAAAAAAAAATCCATGCGCGACTTAAAATTAACTGAGAGACTAGAAAGGCAGCAACGTGAAGATTATCAAAAACATCAAAAACAAAAACATTACAGTTTCTTAAACAGAGTTTGTAATCATAGTCGTGAAGTAATACAATGGCATCGTGCAAATCAATCTAAAAAATTGAAATTTGGTCGTGCTGTTCTAAATTATCATGCTCAGATCGAGAAAGAAGAGTTGAAAAAGAATGATCGTTTATCAAAAGAACGTTTGAAAGCTTTAAAAAATGACGACGAGGAGGCTTACTTGAAGCTTATAGACAAAGCAAAGGATACTAGAATTGCTCATCTACTGGAACAAACTAATGCATATCTTGACTCTTTGGCACATGCTGTTGTTGCACAACAACATGATGAGGTGCATGATAATCCTTCCGTTAGAGGTGGGATTGAACTGATGGACAAAGATGATGACACATTTGCAATTATGAATGGTAAAAAAATTGATTATTATCAAGTTGCTCACAGAATTAAAGAAGAAGTAAAGCAACCAGCCAACTTAAGAGGCGGAACTTTAAAGGACTATCAAGTAAAGGGATTAGAATGGATGGTGTCATTATACAACAACAGATTGAATGGAATACTTGCCGATGAAATGGGTCTTGGAAAAACTATTCAGACTATTTCATTAATAACTTATCTTATAGAAAAGAAGAATCAAAATGGACCATTTTTGATTGTAGTTCCATTATCCACATTAACAAATTGGACAATTGAATTCGAAAAATGGGCACCGTCTGTCATAAAATGTGTTTACAAGGGTACACCATCTGCCCGTAAAGAACTACAAAAAGAATACGTCAAGCATATAAATTTCCAGGTCCTACTTACCACTTATGAATATATAATTAAGGACAAGTCAGTTCTAGGGAAAGTGAAATGGGTTTATGTGATTGTTGATGAAGGTCATCGTATGAAAAATGTCAATTCTAAATTGTCAATGATCTTGACCAATAATTATCAATGCCGTTATCGATTGATTCTTACTGGAACACCGTTGCAAAATAATTTACCAGAGTTGTGGTCGCTGTTGAATTTCATATTACCAAAAATATTTGATTCTGTTAAAAGTTTTGATGAATGGTTCAACACTCCATTTGCAAACACTGGCGGTCAGGACAAAATAGCTTTGAACGAAGAAGAATCACTGCTTATTATTAGACGTCTACACAAGGTACAATTGATGTTAAAATATTTTTTATTTGTTATTATAATAATGATAATGATACACAGCATATTTATGCTAACAATATAACTCATAATTTTATTATTTAGGTATTGAGACCTTTCCTTTTACGAAGGTTGAAAAAAGACGTAGAATCAGAATTGCCTGATAAAGTAGAAAGAGTGGTTAAGTGTAAATTGTCCGCTTTACAAATTAAATTGTATATTCAAATGAAAAAGCAAGGCGTTTTATTTGTAAATACTGGTGAAATGGGGTATGTATGATGATGATAATAATAATAATGTCAATGACAATAACGGCATCATTATTTGATTGATTGGTTAGTTGGTTGGGCTGATAAGTTAATTAATATAACGTTTATAAATAAATATATTTATTTGAACTTTTATAGAAAAACTGGTATAAAGGGACTTAACAATACCATAATGCAATTAAGAAAAATATGTAATCACCCATTTGTTTTTGATAAAGTGGAGAAAGATTTAAATCCACAATATCCAATTTACAATAATGATCTTTTATATCGTGTTTCTGGCAAATTTGAATTGTTGGATAGGATTTTACCAAAATTTTTCAAGACTAATCACAGGGTATGTATATTAATAATGATAATAATAATATTATTATTATAGAATATATATTTTTTAAAAGAAAATATATTTATATATATAAAGGTCCTGATATTTTTTCAAATGACTTCTGTAATGACAATTATGGAAGATTTTCTAAATTGGCGTGGTTTTAGATATTTACGTTTGGATGGCACAACAAAGGTGAATAAATAAATTCAAATGCTGTTCCTACCGTTAATATAAAAAATTTATTAATCAAACTATTAATCAAATTTTGTATAATATATACACATAAATTCATTCACTTAGGCTGAAGATAGATCTGGGTTACTAGAAAGATTTAATGCACCAGGCTCACCTTACTTTGTATTTTTATTAAGCACAAGAGCCGGTGGTCTTGGTTTAAATTTACAAACAGCCGATACTGTTATAATATTTGATTCTGATTGGTAATTAACTGTTTGTTTGTTCGTTTGTAATAATAAAAAAACCCCCATTTATTCATAATTTCCCTTTCTCACCATATTGTATGTAAATAGGAATCCACATCAAGATTTACAAGCACAAGATCGTGCACATCGTATTGGACAAACTAAAGAAGTTAAAATATTAAGACTCATATCACAAAAATCTATCGAGGAAAGTATATTGGCCAGAGCACAGTATAAACTTGATATTGATGATAAGGTTATACAGGCTGGTAAATTTGACAATAAGAGTACTGCCGAGGAACGTGAAGCTCTATTAGTATGTTTTTATTTATTGTATCATTATTATTAAATTTTTTTGAAAAGAAAGACAATATATATTTACATTTTCAAATTTATGACAGCGCTCGTTATTGGGAAATGAAAATGAAAATGATGAGGCAAATGACGTAAACGATGAGGAGGAGATGGATGATGATGAATTGAATGAATTGATATCTAGGAATGATGAAGAGCAAATGTTGTTTAAACAGATGGATATTGAAAGGAATCAAAAAGAGGAAGAGGAATGGCGAAAGAAGGGCGGAAAGGGTAGCAAACCTGAAAGATTGATTCAGGAAAGTGAGTTGCCACCGATATACTTGAAAGATTATGAAAGTATTATGAGAGATGAAGAAGAGACAACCACTTTGCTTGGTCGTGGTAAAAGAGCTAGAATTGACGTTAGATATGATGATGGTTTGACAGAGAAACAATGGATGAATGTAAGCATTAGAAATAATAATGATACTATTAGAAGATTGGTAATTAGTATTAATTGCAAATGATTTAATATTTTGTTGATTTCATTTTTAGTCACTTGAGGATGATGAAATAGATGAAATGAAGAGACTTGAAACAAAAAGACGCCGTAAAGAAAAAAAGAGTCATGAAAAATCATTAGAACAAGAACAAGTGCAAATGTCATCATCGTTGTCTTCTTCTTCTTCTTCTTCACTACAACAACAACCAAACATCTCATTAACGCCACCAGATACAAACAACGACATAAATAACAATCTTAATAATATTAATAATACAGGACCAATAATTCCGAAGAAAAAGAGAGGAAGACCACGCAAACCAACTTATAATTAAAAAAATTAATTTTATTTAATAGGCAGCTTCCTTTTTTTAATAATTCATTAATAATTATTTATAAATATTAGTAGTAATAATTTTAAAAAACTAGATTAAAATATAAATATAATACAAAGACATATAATATTCATCACATACATGTACATATAATATAGACTTAAAGTGTGATTGATTAGCTTTTAATTTTTTTTATTTCAAAAAAATAAAAAAACTTTTTTTATTACAATAACAGCAGTGGTACCAATATCAAACATTTTTGTAGCATTTTGATGGTCAAAAAATATCGAGAGATCATGATCAGTGTTGTACATGGGACATGTCCGCGTAACAATTTGTCATGCGGGCGTGTCCGTCTCCGCTGACAACACTGATGGATTATGATCAAACAATCTAGAAAGAGTTATTATGCAACCATTAAACAGAAATTATCATCAGAAAAAATTGTTTGTCACGCGACCATAAAAATCATTATTATAGTGTTAATTAATCAGCTTTAGAAAAGAGAAGATGGTTAAATGATATAGAAAAGTGGAAAAATTGTTATGCAATCATCATTCAGAAAATATTATCAAAAAATGCAGCAATCAGGAATGATTATTATACAACCATTAATTGTTGTTACATTATTATTATTCCAATGTAACACCATTCATTCTGAGTATACATACGCCAATTGCGCTCCTATTCCAGAACTTCTTTTAAAAGTTAGTAAAATAATTGAACAGAAAGAAAATATTAGCTGGAATAACTATTGTTATTCCACGTCTTCTCCAAAAACCGATTTTGGTCTGTAATTTTCTCTTATTGGAAAAAAAGCTTCTACTTTTCATGTGAATTACAGATTGACAATGTGGAAAACTAAATTTGGAAACTTTGTATAGCATGGTGACATTCTTATAATTGGTAATTATTTTTGTCGATCGTGTTACACAAAAAAGAAAAATTGATTGGCCCGAATAGATTACACAAAAATTTAGACGTGTATAAGTTTTATCAAGTAGATATCGGAGGCAAATTTTAATAATATGGTGTGAGACACCTAGTCCCACAACTTTTTATTGGCCTTGTAGATCCTTCTCTAACTCCAAAAATGGAAATGTTACACCAAAAAAATAAGCCGTGATTTTGAAGCTAAGACCTTTCTCTACAAAGTTACGATTTCATTTTGTTGATATGTCACAGCATTGTGGTGTTAGAAGGGCTCAAAGTTGCACAAGTTTACTATGTTCACGAGGAAATTGGCCGCCATGATCGTTACTAAATTTAGACCAGCCTGTGATAATCATTTCTAAATTTAGCAGTAACAAAAGATGAATTATTCTTTTGAATAGTTGGATGCGAAACAATATAGGATAAATTTTCTTACATGGTAGCAATGTGTTCTTAAATTTAAGTTTGAGTGTCTTCTCATCTAAATATTAATTATATATATTAATATTAATATATGGGACATACTGCAACAAAACCAGACAAAGTGGATCTTTGTACTACCAAGGTTTTCAGGGATCAATATTGTTTAATGTATCAATGTAATAGTAATGATATTAATGCTTTATGATATTAATCTTTTTATAATGATGATATTTTTGATTATCAAGAGATCAAATAGGTGTTGATTTTGGATATTTAGTGAGTTACAAAAAGTTATAGGCAAAAAATTGAAATTATGTGAAAAATCATTTTTTATTAAAAGAAAAAGATAATTAATATCAATCAATATATACATATATAGAATGGTTATATGCACATCAAGTACTGTATGATTACAAAATTATTTAAATTAGTATTTAAGAAAAATCATTTGGATTTTAAATTGATACACAGGTCATTCAAAATTCTTGCTGTAGTAGTGCATCATTTTTTGATCTAATAATAAAAATCTATTTGAACAAATAAACAAATGATTAAATTTATTTTTTTATCAAAAAAGAAATAAAGAAACTTTAAAGTATATAAATATAATTAATTATACATCTTTAATAAACAAACATGACTTAGCTATTTAATCATTTCCTTGTATGTGAATGCCTCTATCCATCAAATATTCATAATGGTCATGATTATTATTCAATACATTTATGTCATCATTGACATAACAAACAATTGCATCATCCAAATAATAAATGATATTAAGATCATGCAGAAAATGAAAAAATTTAAGAAACCCAATTTCAAAAAAGTGACCCTGGGATTCACAATAATAAATAAATAGGGAGGATCAAAAAAAATCATTTCCCTTTCCCATTGTATAGTTCCTTATGAATAATAAATCTGATGATAATAACAGGTGTCAGATTTAATTAAAATTT